CATGTGAGTGTGAGCCACAGCCCAACGCGTGATCGCTGATTTACGGATCAACACTCTGCCTTCTGCTGTTGAAACTGTAAGTAGCACTTCAGGGTGCACTGGCCTGCTGTTGAAGGCCACGAACTCTCTTCATCTCCGCCAAAGCACGCGTCAGGCTCATGCTCGTTATGCGGTTGCATAACGAAGATAAATCAGTGAACGCAAAAACATGCGATTTCGAGGTTCGGATGGGACGCAACTTGGGTCTGGGTATGACTGCCTGAGGACGGCTAATAAGCCAGAAATGGCAATTTCAGTCTCCCATGTCTTTGCCGGTGATACTGTCTGCCTACAATACCAGGTGCTAGGGCTGTCAGGACCTCTGTCGAGACCCCAGGCAGAGCGGGACAGGTGAATTCCGCTAGCTGTCGGACGAACGTTCATCAGTAAGTTCTATATTTATTGGAACATGGCTGGTGGGAATTCTAGAATAGCCCTCCTAATCTCCCTGGTTTGCCTGTGTATCCTTTTACGTAGTCAGAATATTTTTTGTTGATCGATATCATTTTACAAAACTTCTTTTTGCGCTTACTTACGCCCACACCATGGTCCACAGAACCAGAATCTGATGCTCACTTGCACACGCGACGTTATCACAGTGGAGATCTGCGGTGCGCTGAAGAACATTCTCGTACTGGCTGCGGGTATTGTCGACGGTCTTCGTTTGGGCACCAACACCAAGTCTGCCGTCATCCGCCTGGGACTCTACGAAATTGGCCAGTTCTGCCAGTACATGTACGCCAAATACGGTAGGTCGGCAAGCCCCGTCAATCAGTCAAAATGTGCATGTCTTTTGTCGCATTCTCTTTATGTTGCAATGCTTTTTTTCTGGCTGAAATAATCTCTCGCAGTCCCTTATCCGTATTCTTGTCAGCTTGAGACACCAATTTTTGCCTCCCAGAGCCTTAAGTAATTTTATTGTGCATTTTTCCCTTGCCTTTACACAGTGTCCTCATCCGACCTGCTAAACATATTTCGTATTTGTTCCCACTAAATCGAGTACTTTTGTACGATCGCTTAACAAGTTTTTATTAAGATACTTTATGTGTACTGGTATAGGTAGTTCGATTTAAGTTGATTTTATTTGACCCAATTGTGAAAAAGTGGTGGCCTCGATGGGATTCGAACCCGCATCAGCAGAGACGACCAACGCTTTACCAATTTAACTACGAAGGCACGCCGAGAGCCTTGAATATAATCACACTTGGGTTCCGATCCCTCCGAGGCCGCGTATTTTTTATAACTAGGCCAATTGAATTATGCTAGTCAGCCAACCCCCCGC